AGTTATTTGGTCAGAAAGAAAAATTGCCCTCCTTAAATAGGAAGTTATAGTCTCTCTTGCCAAAGTCGAGTTCTTAAAGTCGAAAAGAAATGATGAGAATCCTGTTAGCAATATTATTTGGTAGACTTTCCAATTTAAATACTTATTTTGAGAAACGTATAGGGTTTTATTTATAAGTTCTATAGTATTTACATATTATTTCTTTAGTTATTTCCTACTTAAATTAGATTTTGAAATCCTATATTAAGAGGCTTATACATTGTAATAGTTGACTTGATTATCGAATAAATTCATAATTCGCCCTTTAACCTCTCCTGGTTCTCTCCCCTTTGTTCTTTCTTCTCGAGTCTCATTATTGTTCGTTGCCTACATCAAATAACCTATTGGTGAGTTTATTTTATGTCACGTCTTCTCAAGGAAAATATTGGATACTTATTATAAGTAGTATGGTAATGCGTTGGGAGTGAATCAAGAATTTTCCTGGATTTCTGATGAAGACGGTTATGCAAATGCCAAAAGTGCGTAAGAAAGCTCAAGATCCTGTGTGCGAGGGAAGTGAGGATTGCAATTAAAATATAAAAGGTTTTTAATTTTTGTTAGGATGTTGATTAAATTTCTTCCTCTTTGGGCCGTTCAATGATTGTGAATCCTGTAGATGGATTTCTTTAATTTGCAAACCATATTCTTCGGGTCTCCTGACATGAAGTTTTCTGGTTGCACGATATAGATCATTTCATCAATGTTGCCATTGAGAAACACTATCTTAACATCCATCTGATATAACTCAAGGTCAAAGTATGCAACAAGTGCCATAATTATCCTAAAAGAGTCTTTCGTTGAAATTGGAGAGAAAGTCTCTTTGAAATCAATGTTTTCCTTTTGAGTAAAGTCTTTAGCCACAAGACGAGCCTTATATTTTTCCACATTATGATTTGAATCCCTCTTGGCTTTAAAAATCTATTTACAACCAATGGGCTTCACACCTTCGGGTAATGGGACAAGATCCCAAACCTTATTGTCATGCATAGACTTATACTTTTCATTTATGGCAACAAACCACTTTTGAGAGTTAGAACCCTGCATGGCCCGATGGAAATTGATTGGATCATATTCCATCATTCCATTATTTTCCTCATGTTCTTGGAGAAATACTATAAAATCATCTGGAATAACATTTTTCCTCTTTTTCGTGGATCTCCTTAATGGATTGGTTCATGAGATTGTTGAGTTTATACTTCTGGAACAATTCTCTCATTTTGAATAGGAGATTCTTCAACATTGTCTTATTGAGGTTCTGGATATGTTTCTTGATCAACGACAGGTATAAGAACATTTACATTGTCAAAAGCAATAGTAGGCATCGAAATCGATCCTTTTTCAACTTCTTCCTCAAAGACAATGTCTCTTACCTTATTTCCCCTTCCAAACTCAACATCCTCCAAAAATGTTACAGTTCCCGTTTTAAAAATTGACTTAAGTGTGGGATCATAAAATTTATACCCCCTTGATCGCTCTGAATAACCAATAAAATAGCTGCTCACTGTTTTGGAGTCAAATTTCTTTTCATGTGGCCTATAAGGCCTTGCCTCAGCTGGACATTTCCAAATGTGAAAATGCTTTAGACTAGGCTTTCTGCGTATCCAAAGTTCATAAGGTGTTTTAGCAGCAGCCTTAGTTGGTACTCTGTTCAGAATATAAGCTGCAATCTTTAATGCCTCTCCCCAGAGTGATTTTGGTAAGTTGGAATGACTAATCATACTCCTTACCATGTCCTTAAGAGTTCTGTTTCGTCTTTCAGCTACATAATTTATGCTAGGCGATCTTGGCATGGTGTACTGTGGGACGATTCCACATTCCTCTAGGTATTTAGAAAATGGTCCTGGACATTATTTACTTGAACCGTCATATCTGTCGTAGTACTCACCACCACGATCAAACCTAACGCCCTTTATCCTTTTGTTGAGTTGATTCTCAACCTCAGCTTTAAAAGCTTTGAACATGTCCAGCGACTCAAACTTTTCATGGATGAGATATAGGTACCCATAACATGAGTAATCGTCTATAAATGATATAAAATATTGTTGACCATTTGAAGAAGCTGTAAGGAATAGCCCACAAATATCTGTGTGTATCAATTCTAAGACGTTTTAAGTTCTGTTAGCATCCAATCTCCTTGTTTTGGTCTGTTTTCCCTTGATACAATCAATACATACATCAAAATCTGTGAAGTCAAGGGAATCCAAAATACCTTCTAATACAAGTCGTTCAACTCTAGCTTTTGAGATGCGACCTAAGCCCTTGTGCCATAATTTCGCGGAATTTTCTTTATTTAATTTGTGTTTAGTACCACGTGATTCCACATGCAAGGTCTCATTATATGATGTAATAATATCAAGCATTTATAGGTAATCATATGCAGATAGTAAACTATTACCAATGACATTGGAATTTAATGAAAGACTAAACTAATTATTTCCAAATGAACAACAATATCTAGATTTGTCCAATGAATAAACAGAAAAAATAACTCCTATCAAATAATAAACCCATTTTTGGATTGGTTTATTATTCATATGAAAACCTTATAATTGTCACATATTTACCACCGTAGGCGCATAAGTAATTCGGCCAAGTATTAACCTTCCTTTGGGCTGACTAATAGCCGCATGAAGAAACACACACACAACATCTAAACATCCCAAACAAATCAATCTACACAAAAGAGGTCACTTTGGTGACATATTGTTTCAATTAGTTTATTTAAAATGTTAGATAACCTTAATTCATTATGAATGATTTACCAAATTATTTGAATTTGATTATCTCACATAATTAAACCTTTATTATTTCTCTTGAAAAGAGTCCTTAGTACCATAATTTGAGAAAAAGAATCATTAATTTGTATCATTAGATGCCTTTAGAAAATTTAGGGACCTAAAGGTTAATAATTCAAAACTTTACGATCAAAAATTGAAAAATTTTAAAACTTTGGGGCCCAATTTTAATTAATTATAAAGATTGAGGGCTTTAATTGCAAATTTCAGCAGTTTAATTGCCCAAATTAAATAATTTTCAAACTGTAGGGGCTGAATTATTAAACTCATAACCTTAAAGGCCCAAATTGGATGGATTCAAACTTTAGGGACTGAAATATAAATTTTTATTTTGAAAAAATAATTAATCCTAATTTTAAATTGCAAGCAAGTGCCTGAGATTATCGAAATTGCACCTCAGGTCGCCACCCCCAAAAATCCATCCCAAAATCTCTCTCTATTTCACATTACTAGCGTCGCCAGCATCGGCACCTTGCGCTATTATTGCAGCAATTAGGGATGTCAACGAGTTGAGTCGGCTCGAGAGCCGAAATTCGAGGCTTGAGCTCGGTTTGATTAAAATGATCGAGCTTTTTTTCAAGCCCGAGCCGAGCAAAAGCTCGATTAAAAAAATTAGGCTATATCCGAGCTTTCGGCTCGGACTGGCTCGATTTTGATAATATTTTATTTTTATTTTTTTTAAGACAACCTTTGCTACCTTAAAATTAAGGCAGCTGGTTGCAAAACTAAAGGCAGCAGCACGCTTCCATTTAAAGCAGCATGTTGCTGCCTTTAAAGTTTTTTTTTTTTTTTTTTCTCCTTTAAAGATTTTTTTTTTTTTTTTTGTATTTTCTTTTTAAAATATAGGCTCGTGAGCTCGAACCAACGAGCCACACGGACCAGTTCAAGCTTTGCCCGGTACTCCAAAATGGGGCTCGACCTGAGCTTCAGCTCGGTTCTCTTGAGCCTCGAGTTAGGAGGGCGGAGCTTTTTTCGAGTCGAGCCACGGGCGATCCGAGCCGAATAGCCCGATTGTCATCCCTAGCAGTAGCGCTCGGTGACGCTACTTCGCCCCTGGCCAAAAAAAATAAATTTATTATTACTTTTTTTAAATCCAAAAATCTGATAATCAAAATATGAAATTTCATGTTCTTAACCCAGATCTTGAGAGAATAAACATGAATAATGAGCCAAAGGTTGTTCTAAATCAACAAAAGCAGATCCATAACTTACAAAGGTTGCTCTGATACCACGTGTAGGAAATTGAAAGGAACCAAATTCATCGATCCTTTCACATATTTTCATAAATCTCCATATTGAAATCAATGGGCAAATAAAAATGGGGAAGCGTACATTGATTCATAGATTTGAGTGTCTTGAACGGGTTTTGATCTTCCAACTGTTACGTAATTTTCTTCTTGAAATCTTCTTTGTTGATGGGGATGTAGAGAGTTTTAAAAACTCATGTACAATTGGAGACCATGACTCTATATTAAATAACTGATTATTATCTTTTAATTATTTTAATTGGCCCCTCATCAGTTTAAAATAATTATTACGATCTCTACACTTTAATCCCATGACAATTAACACTCATTAGTCCAAAATTAAACTCAACGGATCATTTTATTGACTAAACTTTAAAAATAACACCACACATTTTAATATATATACATGTGTGGCTCCACACTAAGAATTTTTCCAACACTATGCTATTGGCATTACTAGGGTAAGGATTATCATATTGATACATGGCATACTGTTCTGTTCGTTCAGTACTTGCATTGGCAGTTTCTCCATATTAAATTTTTTGGGTTGGAATTTATAACCCAGCATTGCACACATCTGTATCGATTCTGAGGTATTCTCTGCAAGTTCTCAACAGTAGAAGTTCTTTGTTCCCATTGGTATGTTTTCCTTTCATCTTTCAGTACAAAAATGTGCGAGCTGATTACCAGAAGAACATATGGAAAGTCATGAACTGAAAATACACAAGTGATATGTACGAAAAAGAATGCCCTTGATGTGAGAAATATTGCAATCTTTGGAGTAATGCTTTTCAAGCGAATTGGTGATTGAGATCTCTGCGTCCCAGAAATGAAAATGTGCGACAGAATGGCTGCCCTATTTTCTTTTGCAGATTCCAATTTCAATTTTATTTTACAACGGCGTCTCAAAGCGGCGATGTATCAAGATCCATGTTCATGAATATTGCACCAGATGTAGAAATCAAATATTTTGAAGATCAATCACACGAGTTGCTGTACAAGTATACAGAGTAATCAGATTGAACTTTTCTAATAAAAAAAAATGGCTGCCACAGCAACTTGGGATTCTGGTCTAGACCCTGTATCACAAGAGTAAAGCATTCCTTGGGCAATTCATGCCTCGACAACTCGCTGATACTTCTCGTTCTCACTCGCTGTACACTGTTGGAGTTCCTTCACAATCCTAACACAATCAGCCATAAGGCAGTCGGTCTTAATTGCATTTGAGGCAATGTGTGACCTGCTAGCTGCATATCCCTCCTGCAACCACTCCCTCCGGATTATACGCAACAGTTATAAATGAGATTAGAACAACAAAAATCCATATATCCCAGCAGCAGTGGGGCTCAGACTTGTCAATAGATATATGCAAAGGGGCTTTTAAACACCAGTAAGAGTTCCAAGATTAAGAGCTTCTAATTTGTTGTGGAATCAGTTCTATTCAAATCAGAAGGCACAGCTTTATTTCCTCATCCGAAAAGACAGTTGTTAAAACTAAATGTTGATAGTGGAAATTCAGTGATTAGAAAATGTGCCAAGAAAATACCTTGTGCAGGATGCTCAAAACGGTACCTAGAGAAGGAGAATTAACCTTTGCACGACTTGCTACCTGAGAAAGGGAAAAAGATTAGATGAATAGAGAATCCAGCAAAAACAATATGATATTACAATGTCTTGAATACCTCGTCTAGTTTGATGTATCCAAAAGGCAATTTAGGGTCACTTTCATCCATCATCTGATTTAACAACTTTTCGAGTTGTTTTCCTGTGCCATTGCCCGTCCAACCCCATTGCTCAGCCAAATTTAGCATTTCAGTAAGAAAGGGTGCACTGTGAAGAGGTCCAGTCCAGAGAGGCCCAGAAACAATGAGTGAACCCGGAACCTGAAAAGAAGTATCCATCAAACCCCAATGAATGCATAAACTGCTGTGTGTTCTTGTATCATCTAAAAAATAAATAAAGAAGAATTCATGAAGAAAGCATGGTGATTCTAAGAGCAATGGTTAGATTTTTAAGATAAAGAAAGTGTGCAGCCCGATGCTCGTACATTCAAGAATGATACTTGGATGGTCTACTAGAATGTCAAAGTATACATGATTAGAGACATTGCCAACACTCAACAGTACGGGATACCTTTCATATAATTGTAAGCCTAGAATGTAACAAGAGGAACAGAAGGCGTACGTTTGCATTGCAAGAGCAGCCAATTGCACTAAGTTTATCCCATGAAATTGCATAAGAATTTCCACATCGACTGCAGTAACTGATGAAACTGTAGTGCCTGTAACAAGCAGCAATATATTCAAGATTCAGAAAGGTAAAACAAAGGAGGAAATCAACAAAATCACAGTGATCTAAGACCTGTTATCGGGATGCTTCCCACGCCTAACACGAAGCATTGCTCGAAAGATGGGCCCGTGGTACGAATAGTATGAGAAAAGTGGTGCAACATGATAACCCAAAACAGAAGCCTCCCTTACAGCTCCACCAATAAGCATTCTTAAACCAATCTCATTCGAGTAAGGCATAGGCCGAACATAAGCTCCATATGCAGCCAAAGAGCTGGGAAGTGATTAACAAAAAAAAAAAAAAAAAAACCTATTACAATCGTGTTTCCAAAAGATTTGGAAGCAAAAACACTCAAATTCATTCAATCAGCACACTCAAATAAATCATAGAAACCTCAACTATAACTGGCAATCATCAAAAAATCTAAACTAAATTGTGCTGTAGTCATTTAATTTTGGGAAGTATATAGTGTTGTCCCAGTAGTTTCAAAATAACCGTTTACACTAGCACTCAGAAGTAGGCAAAACCAGGAATATAATTCAGTAGGGGTGTGATGTACCACAACTACACTGCTCTACTAAAATTACATTGACATCAAATGAACAAGAGCTGCAGGAAAAGAGGAGTTTTTTCAAGTTAAAGAACACGAACCAACAAGAAACAAAACATTGTGCAGTAGGTAGAGGCAGAAGTTGATAAGCTCATAAAAGGGCTCCCAATTTTGATGATACTAATAGAATCTTAAAAGAATAAAAATTTTGAAACATGTAGAACGAGACATCAAGATAATCAAAACTTGATACCCTCTAAATACTGGGATGTAAAGCATTAAACTCCATCAGAAATCTCACATTGGTGAATCAACATCATCTGCCCCAAAATTTTCCAACTGGCGACATTTGGCTAAGCCATACAATCACAAGTTAATATACACGGAATACCATATGAAATTTTTCATCTGATTAAACAACACAATGGCATAACAAATAGCAAACCTTACAAAATTCCTCCAAAATCAATCATTTCCTTATTTTTCTTAATTTTCTTTCAGCTAAAACACTAGGCAATCACCGATACACTATCATACCTAAGCAAAATACAAGTTTAGCATATGATAAAAATTGTCAATAGATAAAACAACTTCCTGAAGATCAGCATATTGAAAGGTATTCAAGAAACTTATCGAATCAATTACACAAGTATTTTATCTTACTGTAGAGGCCGGTGTCCACCAGAAGAGAAACCATCAGTGGAAGTGAGGTATAAAAGCCCATCCAATTTCACAGCACCCAAAGCAGACCTCAAGAAACTCGAATCACTACCAAACGAATCAATATCAATAAAATCAAAGTAATCCCTCCTCAAATAACACTCTGTCAAAACCCGGTTCGCATCCGAATGCGTAATAACCCATCTCTTATTTTCTCCATACCCCTTACCCGCCCTCTCCAAATTACCCGTAATAACACTCCCATATTCCTCATTCGCATCATTAGCCATCACAAAATCAGCATCAGCCTCCGCCAGATAGCGTAAAGATCTGATTCCACAGCCGCACATTGCGTCGAGCACACGGAGGGCATTGTGTGATTTCTTGTAAATGGCAGCTGCGAGCACACCGAGGTCGCGGCCAGTGGCGCTCTCATGGCGGAAGAAGGTGTCGCCGATGTCAAAGCAGTGACCCCTTTCAGATATGCAGCATTTTGTTGAGGTTGGGAATTTGGGGGTTTGGTGGGTAAAAGGGGTTACGGGTTTAAGGGAAAGAGATAACATGGCGGGAAAGTGTACAAGAAACGAGGAATTACAGTAATTCTAAGAGACTATCTACTTCTCAATCAACAAACTTTAGAAGGATGCTACATGTATCAAATTTTTTTACCTAATTTCTTATCGATTAATCATAATAGGAGGACGGAAACCATATTTTGAAATTTTTTTAATCACATAGGTCTCACATGCATGTGAGAGGAGGTAAACAATTCGATACACTTTTAGGTGTATAAGTAGAATTATTCCTTTAGGAGTGGCTTGGCTTTAACCATGTAAGCACTAGTCTGGATATGAACTTCGCTTGTGTCCGAGGCTTGGCTTGCCCCTAAATTCATGAGCTTATGAGTAGAGTTTAGCAAGGCCTGCCTTAGGGCTAAGCCAGCTAGGCAACTGCCCAGAGCCTCAAAAAATATGTCTTGGCCCAAGGTCTCAAAACTCTTAGTAATACCCGTAGTCCATGCCCATCTAAGCCTAGCACCAAACAGAAAATTAAGCCATTAAGGAAATTGATCGGACACTGCAAGAAGGAAATTGAAGGGATCGATTCAACCAAAAGGTAAGTTGTCTTCTTCAATTCAAAATTCTCAAATCTCCTCTCCAAAAAGTTTTCAGTTTTCGTATAAGTTTTCTACGTCAGTGGTCCTCCCAAAATTTTTCTGTTTTACAAATGGTGTCTTGCTCATCTTGACGTTTCTAGCCCTCCTCAAGTGCTCATCTATTTAAGTATTAACTATTAAGTATAATTGGTTTATCATATAATAATTTAATTAATAGCAGTCGCCAATCAGGAGAACTCTTTTGAATTCTATCCTTGGATTTTTGGATTTTAGAATGATGATTATGGGTAGAATTGTAGATGGATGATAAAATAGAGAGCACTTTAAACACCGTATGCATAATAGAGAGCATCTTTAAATTTAGAGAGTGATTTTTTTTATGTACTTCAATAAGCTCTCTACTTTGATTCTTTATTTTTATTTTTTCCAAAGAACATTTAGTAATTCTCCACATGTTTTATTTAACTATATTTAAATTATAGAGCATTGAAATTTGTAATATATTAAATGCAATCATTATACATTTAGAATAGAGAGTGAGTTAGGCTCTCTAAATTTGGAGAGTCAAACACACTCTCTATTTTAAAAAGTTAAAATAAAGAGTCTCTTGAAATTTATTTTTAAGTATTGATTCTCTAAAATAAAAAGTGTCTTGTTTTTAAAAAGTTTTTTGGATATACGTTTACATGTACAACTCTTTTAAAAGTGAATAATAAAAAAAAATTACAAATTACGTACCAAATGTCATTTACCTAGTCAGATATTATTTAGGCATAATTATCTTGGAGTCAAAACTCTACATCTTCCAAATCATTTTATATGAGTCTTGATCTCTACTTAAACAAAATTTTGCCATCTACACTAAAAGTAGACTCTGACGTCACAGTACGATAAGTGAAACAATTGAATATTGTTTCAAGTTTGTTCTCCAAAAATAAATCAAGTCTAAACCTTTTTGCATGTACTGGCTCTACCATTATCAAAAGCTTGTTTTTTACTAAGTGTTATCGTAATAAAGATTAGAACTTTCCTATTTCTGTCGAACTCGTTTTGAATTAATTTATCCCATCTTGCACGATTACAAATACAATGGATATAAAAAAGAATACCACCAAAATCCCTGAGAAAGGGAAAAAGATTAGATGAATAGAGAATCCAGCAAAAACAATATGATATTACAATGTCTTGAATACCTCGTCTAGTTTGATGTATCCAAAAGGCAATTTAGGGTCACTTTCATCCATCATCTGATTTAACAACTTTTCGAGTTGTTTTCCTGTGCCATTGCCCGTCCAACCCCATTGCTCAGCCAAATTTAGCATTTCAGTAAGAAAGGGTGCACTGTGAAGAGGTCCAGTCCAGAGAGGCCCAGAAACAATGAGTGAACCCGGAACCTGAAAAGAAGTATCCATCAAACCCCAATGAATGCATAAACTGCTGTGTGTTCTTGTATCATCTAAAAAATAAATAAAGAAGAATTCATGAAGAAAGCATGGTGATTCTAAGAGCAATGGTTAGATTTTTAAGATAAAGAAAGTGTGCAGCCCGATGCTCGGGCATTCAAGAATGATACTTGGATGGTCTACTAGAATGTCAAAGTATACATGATTAGAGACATTGCCAACACTCAACAGTACGGGATACCTTTCATATATTTGTAAGCCTAGAATGTAACAAGAGGAACAGAAGGCGTACGTTTGCATTGCAAGAGCAGCCAATTGCACTAAGTTTATCCCATGAAATTGCATAAGAATTTCCACATCGACTGCAGTAACTGATGAAACTGTAGTGCCTGTAACAAGCAGCAATATATTCAAGATTCAGAAAGGTAAAACAAAGGAGGAAATCAACAAAATCACAGTGATCTAAGACCTGTTATCGGGATGCTTCCCACGCCTAACACGAAGCATTGCTCGAAAGATGGGCCCGTGGTACGAATAGTATGAGAAAAGTGGTGCAACATGATAACCCAAAACAGAAGCCTCCCTTACAGCTCCACCAATAAGCATTCTTAAACCAATCTCATTCGAGTAAGGCATAGGCCGAACATAAGCTCCATATGCAGCCAAAGAGCTGGGAAGTGATTAACAAAAAAAAAAAAAAAAAAACCTATTACAATCGTGTTTCCAAAAGATTTGGAAGCAAAAACACTCAAATTCATTCAATCAGCACACTCAAATAAATCATAGAAACCTCAACTATAACTGGCAATCATCAAAAAATCTAAACTAAATTGTGCTGTAGTCATTTAATTTTGGGAAGTATATAGTGTTGTCCCAGTAGTTTCAAAATAACCGTTTACACTAGCACTCAGAAGTAGGCAAAACCAGGAATATAATTCAGTAGGGGTGTGATGTACCACAACTACACTGCTCTACTAAAATTACATTGACATCAAATGAACAAGAGCTGCAGGAAAAGAGGAGTTTTTTCAAGTTAAAGAACACGAACCAACAAGAAACAAAACATTGTGCAGTAGGTAGAGGCCGAAGTTGATAAGCTCATAAAAGGGCTCCCAATTTTGATGATACTAATAGAATCTTAAAAGAATAAAAATTTTGAAACATGTAGAACGAGACATCAAGATAATCAAAACTTGATACCCTCTAAATACTGGGATGTAAAGCATTAAACTCCATCAGAAATCTCACATTGGTGAATCAACATCATCTGCCCCAAAATTTTCCAACTGGCGACATTTGGCTAAGCCATACAATCACAAGTTAATATACACGGAATACCATATGAAATTTTTCATCTGATTAAACAACACAATGGCATAACAAATAGCAAACCTTACAAAATTCCTCCAAAATCAATCATTTCCTTATTTTTCTTAATTTTCTTTCAGCTAAAACACTAGGCAATCACCGATACACTATCATACCTAAGCAAAATACAAGTTTAGCATATGATAAAAATTGTCAATAGATAAAACAACTTCCTGAAGATCAGCATATTGAAAGGTATTCAAGAAACTTATCGAATCAATTACACAAGTATTTTATCTTACTGTAGAGGCCGGTGTCCACCAGAAGAGAAACCATCAGTGGAAGTGAGGTATAAAAGCCCATCCAATTTCACAGCACCCAAAGCAGACCTCAAGAAACTCGAATCACTACCAAACGAATCAATATCAATAAAATCAAAGTAATCCCTCCTCAAATAACACTCTGTCAAAACCCGGTTCGCATCCGAATGCGTAATAACCCATCTCTTATTTTCTCCATACCCCTTACCCGCCCTCTCCAAATTACCCGTAATAACACTCCCATATTCCTCATTCGCATCATTAGCCATCACAAAATCAGCATCAGCCTCCGCCAGATAGCGTAAAGATCTGATTCCACAGCCGCACATTGCGTCGAGCACACGGAGGGCATTGTGTGATTTCTTGTAAATGGCAGCTGCGAGCACACCGAGGTCGCGGCCAGTGGCGCTCTCATGGCGGAAGAAGGTGTCGCCGATGTCAAAGCAGTGACCCCTTTCAGATATGCAGCATTTTGTTGAGGTTGGGAATTTGGGGGTTTGGTGGGTAAAAGGGGTTACGGGTTTAAGGGAAAGAGATAACATGGCGGGAAAGTGTACAAGAAACGAGGAATTACAGTAATTCTAAGAGACTATCTACTTCTCAATCAACAAACTTTAGAAGGATGCTACATGTATCAAATTTTTTTACCTAATTTCTTATCGATTAATCATAATAGGAGGACGGAAACCATATTTTGAAATTTTTTTAATCACATAGGTCTCACATGCATGTGAGAGGAGGTAAACAATTCGATACACTTTTAGGTGTATAAGTAGAATTATTCCTTTAGGAGTGGCTTGGCTTTAACCATGTAAGCACTAGTCTGGATATGAACTTCGCTTGTGTCCGAGGCTTGGCTCGCCCCTAAATTCATGAGCTTATGAGTAGAGTTTAGCAAGGCCCGCCTTAGGGCTAAGCCAGCTAGGCAACTGCCCAGAGCCTCAAAAAATATGTCTTGGCCCAAGGTCTCAAAACTCTTAGTAATACCCGTAGTCCATGCCCATCTAAGCCTAGCACCAAACAGAAAATTAAGCCATTAAGGAAATTGATCGGACACTGCAAGAAGGAAATTGAAGGGATCGATTCAACCAAAAGGTAAGTTGTCTTCTTCAATTCAAAATTCTCAAATCTCCTCTCCAAAAAGTTTTCAGTTTTCGTATAAGTTTTCTACGTCAGTGGTCCTCCCAAAATTTTTCTGTTTTACAAATGGTGTCTTGCTCATCTTGACGTTTCTAGCCCTCCTCAAGTGCTCATCTATTTAAGTATTAACTATTAAGTATAATTGGTTTATCATATAATAATTTAATTAATAGCAGTCGCCAATCAGGAGAACTCTTTTGAATTCTATCCTTGGATTTTTGGATTTTAGAATGATGATTATGGGTAGAATTGTAGATGGATGATAAAATAGAGAGCACTTTAAACACCGTATGCATAATAGAGAGCATCTTTAAATTTAGAGAGTGATTTTTTTTATGTACTTCAATAAGCTCTCTACTTTGATTCTTTATTTTTATTTTTTCCAAAGAACATTTAGTAATTCTCCACATGTTTTATTTAACTATATTTAAATTATAGAGCATTGAAATTTGTAATATATTAAATGCAATCATTATACATTTAGAATAGAGAGTGAGTTAGGCTCTCTAAATTTGGAGAGTCAAACACACTCTCTATTTTAAAAAGTTAAAATAAAGAGTCTCTTGAAATTTATTTTTAAGTATTGATTCTCTAAAATAAAAAGTGTCTTGTTTTTAAAAAGTTTTTTGGATATACGTTTACATGTACAACTCTTTTAAAAGTGAATAATAAAAAAAAATTACAAATTACGTACCAAATGTCATTTACCTAGTCAGATATTATTTAGGCATAATTATCTTGGAGTCAAAACTCTACATCTTCCAAATCATTTTATATGAGTCTTGATCTCTACTTAAACAAAATTTTGCCATCTACACTAAAAGTAGACTCTGACGTCACAGTACGATAAGTGAAACAATTGAATATTGTTTCAAGTTTGTTCTCCAAAAATAAATCAAGTCTAAACCTTTTTGCATGTACTGGCTCTACCATTATCAAAAGCTTGTTTTTTACTAGGTGTTATCGTAATAAAGATTAGAACTTTCCTATTTTTGTCGAACTCATTTTGAATTAATTTATCCCATCTTGCACGATTACAAATACAATGGATATAAAAAAGAATACCACCAAAATCGGGATTAAAAATCCTAGCTAATTTATCAATTACTGTTTTATTAAACTTTGAGTTGTTAAACGTAGAATTTCGAATTTTATTCTCACAATGAAATTTTTTATAGTGCCCATTAAATCATCAAAAATATTAGTAGCATTATGTGAAAATTCAATTAATTCAAAAAACAATAATCTTTTTATGCATTATTCACAATTTATCTAGATAGTGAGTTATAGTGGTTATTATTGGAGTTATCATTAGGGTTAGCTCATAGGCTCGATGGATCATAGGTATGAACCATGGGTGACCTGGGCTCATTTTGAGACGAGCCGAGTCGGACTCACAATTTTTTAACTAATGGTGCTCGCTTGGATCGTTAGGCCCATGAGCTTGATTGTGGGTATGAATCTACGATCCAACTTGTTTCCAGTAACCTCGTTTTTAATTTCTCATTTTTGGACTTATTTTATTTATTATTTTTTTTTAATTCTCATTTTTAGACTTATTTTGTTAATTTATTTTTTATTTTTCTCAAAAAAGAGCCAACTCTTGGATTACTGGACTCATGAGGCCCACGAGCTAAAGCTAATCGGAATATTTGAATAGGAGACGAGCTCAAGCTCGACTCAAGTCCACACCAGCCAAGCTCGTCTCATCCATTGGGTTGAGCTGAGCTTGATAGTCGAATCGACCTATTGCGGTCCCTACAATACTTGCATATTATTGTTTGTCGTTTACTTGACTTGTGAACACAATTTTTATGTGTTCCCAATACTTCACAATTTGTTTCTCTATTCTTCATTTATCGGTTGAGCCTATTGTATGCTTCCCTGTTTCCTTTATGTCATCCAAATTAATTGAGTTCATGCACATCTTGATTGCCAAATCAACTGGAATTGAAATGTCATTAGAACCACTAAAATCGAGACGAATAGCGGAGACAAAGCAACACTTTGTGGTGTTTTGGAGCATCAAACATTTCTTCAAACTCATCAATCTCCAAATAACTATTGTGATCTATTTGAATTTTGAATAAAATAAGAAATTGAATAAGACAGGTAGAATGTAGAGAAAATGTAGTACGTAGAAGGAATGGCACAATAAAAGAACAAATTTGTAAAATCTAGATTGAAGTGCTAAAACTAAGTATAAATTTAAATTACAACAATTTAATGAGAAACTTAGAATATAGTGATAGATGAGGTTATTATAGGCGAAAAAAATAATAATTCTCAAAAAAAAAAATAGTAATAATAATAATAATAATAATAAATTTGACCGTTGGCTCGCTATCAGAATTATTCAAAATGTAATATCACTATTCATAATATGACCGTTTGGTCACAGAAGTCCACGACTAGAGGGGAGTAGTGAGCCGAGCCTAATTCAGCTGGTCAATTTTTTTCGGCTTGGCTTGACTCGGCTCAGTTTGGGGCTTATCTCTAGACAAGGTCGAGCAGTCTATGGATCAAGCCCAAACGAGTAGCATAGTCGATTCCACGAGCCACTCTACCCACACCACCCCTACCATATTTGAAAACAGTTAACATAAATTTCTGGAGAATGGATTGTAGTTTATAAACTTCCTTACGCTGAATGGGACGCACTCTGAATTATCCAAAGTCTATCGTCTAACTTCTCTCTTGTTCTGAACTCTCGAGTGCGAAGTGATATTATAGTCCATGTAAACAAAGTGGGCTTTGGTTGGTGTTGTTTTATTTCTCGAAATGGGAACAAAGTGGCAAAGCTCTTAATTTCACTTCATTCACTACTTCTATAAGATGGGTTGATTAGGCACTTTATTTATAAAAAAAAAAAAAAAAAAAAAAAAAAAAAAAAAAAAAAAAAAAAAAAAAAAAAAAAAAAAAAAAAAAAAAAAAAAAAAAAAAAAAAAAAAAAAAAAAAAAAAAAAAAAAAAAAAAAAAAAAAAAAAAAAAAAAAAAAAAAAAAAGCCAATGGAGGATTTGCAGTGAAGACACTCCACAGAGAGAGAGAGAGAGAGAGAGAGAGAGAGAGAGATACAGCCTAATAGAAATACAATATTTAACTGACAAAGTAACAAATCATACAATCAACAGTGTGAAAACTTCCAATCTCAATCCTATGACTCTCTATAATTGCAGTACAGACTGCTAACTGTTCTAACTTATTCATGATTACAAGCTAAATTGCCCATCTTCTGAGCTCCATTAGAAGCTGAGATAGCAACCATGAATCACACAATACAACATAAATGCCTAAGGTTCTACTCTTCATCTTCAGTAAAATTATTTGTTTCTGCACATAACTTGGCTATCAACTTCCCAAACAGGTTGTACCAAGAAATAAAGCTCTCTCTAATCATCTGATTAAGTTGCCGAGTGAGTTTCCATCGTTGGAGTAAAAATGTACATTTCGCAGGCATGAGCATCAACTCGTGCACTGAATGAGGACTTTGAATTCTGAGAAACAAACTCGTGCTGCAACCAATAACAACAGGAAGTGTCAAAGAAACCATCATATATGCAATTCAGTGAAGGGGAACTTCTTATGGTGGATTGGTGGGTAGGCTAAAATTCTTTACACTGTCCATAGCAAACTTGGTACATAGATCAAAGTAGAAGTCTCAAAGAAAATCAAGGACCCAGACACTGTTTTCTAATATATTAGTTGCACCTCACACAAACATGACGTGCTTTACCTATAAGATTATGAAGAAAAACATTGCTCACCTTCCACAAATCTCTTACTGAGACGATGATAGAAGATTCAAGTCCAAGTGAAGGCCATTTAGCGGTAATAGTAGCAGTTTTTGAACATCTATTCCATAATGCAACAACCAAACGTTGCCCGGACAGGGGACCAGCCCAAATCTGAAAACAAAATTAATATCATGTAATGTTACAAATTACAAAAGGTAAGAACCCCCTCATGACAATTCATTTTGTTTACACAAAGAAAAAAAGTTTGTTCCCACAAGTATCTTAGGTTGGATTATATAATCGAGAGATTAGAAAAGGCTGAATCCTCAATTGATAAGCTTCACAAACGTATGAGTTTAACCTATAAACATTCCATGGATTAGAGCAAAAAATACAGGGGGTAGACAATGCAAGAAAAAAAAATGATACAGAGTGTTTGGTTCATAAAAGCAAGAACAAAATATACAGAGGTGCATAATGCACGTACCTGATAGCAGCCATCAGGCCCGTAAGCAAAAACTTTCCTTCCTTGAACCCCAAGATGATCTACAAGAAATAAGATTTTTATTTTTATTTTTAAAGACGATGTTGTTATTAACTCTCTCCTCCCGAGAAAGAGAATGCAAAACAGAATGAAAACAAGGAATTTACCTTGGTTTACCGCAATAACCTCCTCGTTGCTTAGAATTTCAAATGTCTCTGCACTCATGTTTCTTACATCACAACCAATCAAAAGCGGTGACTGCACATTCAAGTAAACAGCATTTAGTTCATTAGTGTCAGATAATTTCAGTTTCTTTCGTGCTGATCACCAACAAACTGCATTATTTGAGAATTGTTTCAATAAAGCTCATTTAAAAGAATATAAGGACATGCTTGAGACTAAAAACAAAAGATTGTGGATATTCACTGTTATAAAAGAGCACCTTCATCAAGGCCCAAATGCTAAAATGTGCTCGATACTCCTGGTACGTCATGCCCCCATTTCCAACTTCTAACATATCGGGATCTGTCCAATAGTGTCAAAGAAATCACAAGGAAGTTTAAAGAAGTTCATACACAGAATTCACTGATGAATCTTCATTCACACTACAGAACAAAGATCAGAATCCTACCATTCCATCCTCCAGGTCCTGCATAGGCTGCCCACTTGTCATTGATATCGACAATTTCAGTCATGCTAAAAATGAAAGGGCAAGAAAGGCTACATCAATAAAGGAAATACGTTGCATAAACAGGATTTTAAAATCAGAAAAAAATTAAAAAAATAAAATAAAATAAAAATAAGTTCTCTAAATCTTTTTATTTCTTTCTTCTTATTTTAGGCTAACAGATGAGGTAATAGTTTGAATGAAACATTCAATACCCTAGAAGGGGACCTAGGGATTTAATTTCAGGTGGGGAAAGGGTGGGTGGAACCTTTGTATGTCAAACTTTTTAATGGGAAAATCCCAAAATATAGTTTTATGTATTTATTATCACGTGCACAACTAAAAATGTAAACTTTAAGAGTTCAAGTACAGGAGTTCAGAACCTTGCCCATGAATCATTAATGTCATTTGTTGTTCTCCAACTGTTTCCAATCTTGCCTGCCCACAAGGCAGGGTCATTCACGCCCCTGCCAAATTTGTAAGAAAGTCGAGAGTTTTCTTAGTACGAAGTGAAGATTTCGAATCATTAGACAGAACCATTAAAAAAAATAGCAGTCTTGAAAGCAATAGAAACTACCATTCGCAAAGTGAATAGAATATTGTGCGTCCAGTTGCATTTATTGCATCACGCATTGGTGGATATCTGAGAGTTGTGAGACCACAGTTAGATGAAGCCAGATATACCAAGATATGAAAATAAACAAAACACCAACCTTTCTTCTGGATCAATGCCCAGATTGAAACAGTTGTCGTACTTCAAGTAATCAACACCCTGAATAACCAAGAACAAAATTAATATATGAACCAACCCTTCAATCCCACCCAAATATAAAAGTAAAACAAAAAGGAAAACGATTCCAGCATAAATGGAGAGAAAACAGAGAACTGTAAAAGAAGAAAAATGAACAAACCCAAGATGCAAAAAGAACTGCATCATCATATTCATGTTGAAGTGATCCAGGTCGCTTTTGACATGTGAAAGCCCTGTGGAATTTAATTAATGAATCAGTAGGAAGTAAAATGATATAAACAGAGCTAGAATGGCAGAATATTTTCCTCATTCAGAATCAAGTGATGATTTATGCTATTACTTGAACAATTTTCACAAGACAGTGAGGAATTCACCCTACCCTGCATCTGAGTAGATACCGAGCTTGAGGCCTTCAGAATGCACATAATCAGCAAGAGCTTTAATTCCTGATGGAAACGTCTTAGGGTCAGGAATTAGTTGACCCTGCACAAGCAGTCAAGCTTTAGTAAGAATAAGCATAATACAAAACATAACAATTTCTAATCTTTCAGCCCGCGAGCTAATAGAAAGGGAAATCAGGGAAAAAAAATTTAGAAGGGGTAAAAATTGCATCACATATACGGAGAAGATCTATTGTAAACTATAGAAATTAGTGATATTAGGATCACAATGAACCAAAGTTATAGATCTGGAAATTTACATCTGAATCCCGTGATGGCTCGGACCAGCAATCATCTGCATTTCAAAACATTGAGTATGTAAGAACATGCCAAGATTTGACGTGAAACTATTTAGGGAAACAGATTGGTTGATTACCTATATTCACATAATTATAGCCTAATTTGGCCAAACCAGTTGAAATAAGTGCATCAGCTGTTGAAGAGCAAAATAAAGTTAAATTTTTTTTTTCAGGGAACAAATAAAGGGTAAGAAAACATTAGCTCTCATATAGAAAACGGAAAACGTAAAGAAAGAACTATGCAAAACAACATAGATACAAGCAATTGAATGGATTCAAAAGAACTCATTGCTTCTAGTATCAGACAGCAGGAAAGATCCATAAAAGATCGTATAATATTGATAACTAAGCCCAAAATACATCAAGTTACGCACTATAATCACTTGACTGAAATTTTACATAATCGATAGTCAATACCAGCCGCCTCATGATAATCTAACATATATTAAGCCCAAATTCTAAAGGACTGTATTCTGCTTGTATTTTCATATTGGGGACAAGCTTTTCTATTACTAAGCATATCAATCACAACAAAGGCAAGGCAGAACCTGTTTCCTTGATAACTTTTTCATTGATATTGCAGCCAAAGAAATTCCAGCTATTCCATCTGTCACGCAAAATAATCAAATCAAATTATTTATAACTACATAAAATCTGGATTTTTGCCATAAATTGACTATAAACCGGCTGAATATTAAGGATCATGTAAAATCATATGCAGGAAATCCATTTATTCAGAAAATCTTGAATCAAAACCCCTATTAGTTGCTCAAATTTACCCCTGCAAGAATTGATCTTTAAAGTCTCCAAAAATAAAAATAAAAAAATCAAAATAAAGGGAAAATTATTACCCCATCTGAGGAGTCTTGGCCAAGCCATTGCCAAGCTGTAAAATACCATACTTGGAAGTATCGAAGATATTGGAGACGGGCTTTTCTTGTTCCCGCATATAAGGGTGTAGAGGCATCATCACCCTTGCAGCATTTGCTACAGTCATGACATATACAAACAGAATTGCTGCATGTATACACGCCATGGCAAAATTGCCAGAGATCTTAGCCATTAATTATGTTTCTTGAGTTTTTCTTTGTTTTCTAAGAATGTTGGCTATTGCCTCAGAAGAGAGTAAGGCACAAGAAAAAAGTGCATAGGTGAGCCCATTATATATAAACAAGATTTCTTAAATTATCTACTGTGCACTATCGTTGGACCCCAATTCTTAGTCGGATTAAGATTATTTTATTGGATTATGCCATGTTTTTCTGTATTGGGTGCCTGTACTTACTGTGTGCTTTGGTGCCTATTGTCTGTCGAAACCTGATTGGCGGATGTTTTGCTCGGCTCCTAAAACTTTGTGAGGGAGGTAAATCGCGGGATGTGGCCCAATAGGCCAAGGAATAAGAGTTGCATGTACACTGTGCCTACAAGGAGTCAAATTTCATATTTCAGGAATCGAACCTCCACACTGCCGCTACCAGCAAGGTGTGAGATAACCTCACTCATATCCTTTGCACCACTAGACTATGTCCCGGGGGCGCAGCATACCATGTATACGTATATGTGTAGTACTTCGCGTTTCGTCTCTCGACATTGAAATTTGCATTTTTTTTTTAATGTTTTTTTGGTTAGAAATCACGTAGAATCTGCTTATATTGTTCGTTTTAATAAAAAATGTCACCTAAAATAGTTTAAAGAAAATATTTAAAATATATTGCAGCTTAGAGAACATCTACAAATTTTTAGAGAGTAAAAATTTATAAATATTATTACAATCTCTTTATCTTTAGTATTTAGTATTCGTTTGAAATTGCTTGTGAGCTCGTTCTACTAATTTTATAAAAGTAATAGTTAGAAAAACTTTTAGAGAAAATCAATTCAAAATATTTTCATTGAAGTACCCATTTGGCTAATTATATATAAAAAAAATCTTCTAGATATAAGAGTTTTAAAAAAAAGCTAATTTAATATAGCTTTCTTTAAAAGAACTTTTAGAATAAGAAATGCTTTCAAAAATTAATTTTCAAACAAAAAGTAAGATAACTTCTTTCGAAAACTCTTCTATAAGAAGCAAAAATAAAAGTTAAAAAACCATGGCAAACGGACCTAAAAACATTTTTGAAATAGAAAGTTCTTTTAAAAATTATTTTTTAAACCACAATTAAAATAGCTTTTTCCAAAACTTCTTCCACGAGAAGTAAAAATAAAAGTCATATCAAATGAACCAATAATATTACTACTCCCAATATTTATTTATTTATTTATTATTTTTCTCTATTTTAATTTTTACTAACTTCCCTCCAAATTATTTCACTCCATTTTCTTTATATATATACTATTTAATTGTATAATATATGGAGCATTGAAAATTAAACTATTTTGAATGCATGTAATTATAGAGAATAAATTTGTCTCTCCAAATTCAAAGAATCAAACCCACTCTTTATTTTAAAATATTAATTTGAAAAATCTATTAATACTTTATTTTAAGAATTGTATTTTACCTTTTAAGGCATCATAATTGTGTTTGTTGTATATTATGCTTTTCATTTAGGATTGGTTGATCCAAAAACCCAACAATAAAGAATACTAAAAGATGGGGCGGTTTGATTTATCTGAGCAATAAATGACTTCAGAAACCTAAAAAAACATTAAAGCAAATCTATGACTGGACAAATCTATTCTGGAAAAATTGCAGAATTCGTCCACAACCTTTAGTGTTTGTAGTGACTTGTCTTCAACATTTAAGAGTGAGCAAACTGGTCCCTAATATTTCAATTTCACTGCATCACTTGTCCTAATGGATGATGCCTGTACAAAAAGAATACTTCCCCGATGAGATTAAGTGGGAGCCTGCTACATGTGAGAGGCATATGCCATTTTATATGGAAATAACGTATAGTTTTTTGTTATGTTTAATATTTGGGTTTCGAACTAGTTGTGGATTTTTATTTTTATTTTCTGTAATTTTTTTTATTGAAATAGTAGTGTATGTGTATTCCAAAAGAAAATGTATTAGAAAAACTAAGAAGTCTAATGATATCTAATATATATTAATGAATCCCTTATAATAAGTTAGTTTTACGATAGCCCTTAACATAATCGCAATTTGGTTCAAATTCTATAAGCAAGCTAAACTATTGTAAAAACTATAAGAGTCTATGACAAATATAACCATACTTATTAAATCCAGATGATTTGATTGGTTCGGTCAAACAATCAGCTGGTTAACTAGTCCAGATCGTGATTAGTGATCGAATTGCAATTAACCTTATTAAGAACCGATTAAATCATTCAGTTTATTGAAAATTAGACTAGCCCGATTTACCAGTTCTTTGATTTTAATAATATGTTTGCAAATCTAGGGGTTGAAGTTTGATCTCCCAATGCCCTATCTCCCGCTTTGTGGCAATTCAAGGCAACTGTTATACCAAACAATTTATTCTTGATTTGAGATGTAACTATCATCTGTTATTGTACTTTTCTAGTAATTTGTATTATAAAATTAAGAAAAAATAAAGGAGAAGATAAGACAAGAGAAGAAAATAAAATAAAGAGAACTAAAAATTTGTTTCTTTCATTATAATAATGAATCTATATATACAAAAATTTAATCAGAATTACAAGCTATCAAGACACAGATTTCAAGGGTAAGTAAAACTATTATTTAAATATCATGAGTAGAACAAATAATCATTCATCATAATCTAATCATTTTACAACTCTCCCTTGAATTGTCTCGTTAAAAATCTTATTTTACAAAAATGTAGTGAGACAAAAATCTGAACAAAAGAAAAAGGGAATATCTATTCTCCTTGATTTTAATCAATATAAATCATTGTATCATCTCACTCAGACCTTGTGCACCAATATCTCTAATATCACTATCTTCGTACAAGATATTATCTATCCATATTTGACCGTAGACAATATGATGGTCTGTGAAAATTAGATCTACATATTGTTCTCTTCGGGAGTTTCAAATCGAATTTGTAACATACCAAATGTATGAACCCGTAGAAGTTAATGATAAATGTTTTAGAGATTATGGACATCCATAACTATCCATTACACAAAGAATATGTTTCGTTAAAAATTTACTGAAAAAAATTTAGTAAAGGAAAAATAATACATTATTCTTTTAAATATTTTTTGAAAATTATCTTATTAAAAATCTTGTCAGAAAATGACAAAATATCGATCAAAAAGAAAGAGTATGACACGTTTGCACTCTCCATCGTCATAATATCACTTGAGATTTGTAATTTTGTCAATCAACTTCTCAAGTGTTACAGTTGATCATGCATTTGTGAATGTTTGCCACAAATCATCTTAATAGCTACACGTGAATGGATAACTTGTTGATAAGCTTCATGTAGATTAAATAATGCACTGCATCATCATAGCCAACTAGTCCCAAATTATAAGCTATTAGCAAAATACCATAGTTTATATATTGCACTGAAATAAGTTACTTCTATACTAACATATTATTCATTATTATCTTAAGAAACAAAATGATTCATTTTTAGTTTAAATGAACTTATAGCCATCGAGTATCAAATGGATGTGTCAATTTTTCATATGAATTCTTTTTTTAAGACTTTTATTTCATGCAAGTAGATTGATGAAATCAATTCATTAAATACTTGATCTACAAGTCGAGGCAAAAAAAAAAAAAATCTAAGATATTTGATCATGAATTCATTTTTAAGTAACTACCCTTTAACCGAATAGACACAAATCTCTCTCTCTCTCTCTCTCTCTCTCTCTCTCTCTCTCTCTCTCTCTCTTCCGCATTTCATAGTGCTTTTTTTTTTTGTAATAAAAAATATTTTGTGGGTTTCTCTCTCTCTCTCTCTCTCTCTCTCTCTCTCTCTCATATTAGGGCACTGAAAAAAAAATAGCACATAATCGTCATTGTTTAAACTACATTCTTATGCTTGAAAAGGACATAAACTAGCTTGACAAACCAATCATCTCGACGAGCTCATTTCTCCAATTTCATTTTTATTTACAATTACATAAATTATGTAAAAAGAGAGAGAAGAGTCCCAACCAATAATAGCCATGATCGCCAACCTAATATATGCCTTGGTTAGTTTTCAAAATCAGATTTCAATAATACAATTAATAACATATAAGAAATCAAATATGTAATAATATATGAACATGCTTCTTCAGGAGCATTAAGTAAATTTTTAAAAACTATTGATTATATAAATTTTATTTCATTAAAAACAACAAAATAATATTCTTCTAGTAACATTGACATGTATAAAATTATACTTCTAATCTATAAAACGAATATACTTCTTGAATAATTTTATACTATTCTTCAAGAATAAAAAATTGTGTACCATTTTATTTCTTTTGGAGTCTATGTATAAAGCTGTTGTTGGAGAACATAGTATTTTTCAAGGATATCAAAATAACAATGTTTCTAAAATTGTGCTGTAGGCAGCAATATTCAAGTAGAATACTATTACGATATAAATTTTTGCTTCTTTAAGAATATGTGTATTATATTTTTATCAGTTTTGATATATATAAATCATTGCGGTTATTCTGGAACATTATGCAATTGTTAGGAAATTAGAATAGAAGATCTCTTTTAGAGTAGATATGACTTATTTAAGTATTCTGAAAAGACCAAATAATCATTCATAATTATACTACTATTTTATAACACCCCTGTTGATGATTATTTGTACAATAATTGTCTCGTTAAAAATTTTTTTTGATAAAAATTCAATAAAAACATCAAACAAATGGAAATCTTTTTACAATTAATTGTTAAAATTTTGGATTATAAAGAAAATGTTGTCTCATTAAAATATTGTCAAGAAAATTCAGTGGAACAAAACCTATACTAAGGAAAATAGTGGATCTACACTCCTTGATGCTCATTGAAGATCTTTGAATTGACGCATTCCAATCTCATGTATTAATTCCTTGGATATAAATGTTAACGGTGTTTTTGTAAATAAATCAATCATGTTACTACTTTGAGCAAATTTGTTGAAAATCGATGTCATTATTCTTTTGAAGCTCATGTGTATAGAAAAATTTTGAAGAAATATGTTTCGTCCTATTCCCTTTGATATAGGTTCCTTTGAGTGTAGTACAAATTGAAT